AACATTCGAACAACCATGGCAAATCGCCTCGCTACTGTAACAGGCGATCACTTAATTACAGAGCACTCGAACTAACATATTTAATTATTCCGACAGGGTGCAATTGGACTTATGGGACTGAAAGGAGATGAAGGGCCCAAAGGACCAAAAGTAAGTCAGGACATGTCATCGTAAGCCATCTAATCATCCCCGTATACATTCACGTTATAATAGTAACATATGATTGGTTCATTGATTCACAGGGTATGATTGGCTCTCCAGGTCCACCTGGGAAAACCGGACATATGGTGAGTACAATAATTAGTATTGTGGTGACATGGTATGGAATTATATATGATACAAGTGGGTTATATTACATAACTTTGGGTATAATTACGTTGCAGGGGTTTCGTGGACGCCAGGGTGACTCGGGGAAGCCAGCGCCAGACGGAAGCCCTGTAAGTACTAACATTCCTAGTTTCAAACACTGGAACGTTTCGACTGCCCCTGCTAGTCCGTCGATCGGTACTAAGTGTTACTCCCTGGCAAGTTATTCATTTGACGTTTCTGTTCTACTGATATACACACACAAAAACGTTTACAGAGTACCACCACCCGAGACCAGACCTGACCCCAAATATGTACACAGTCGGTACGCCGAAAAAAGCTTCAGACTCTTATTTCAGAACCTTTCTAACAATCACTCTATATATTATACACACGTGTGTTGTGAGGGTCTTGCGGTTTATGTCACCAAACACTTGAACATTTTGTTTGTTTAATTTTTTCTGTCAATGTACAGCGTTTTTTAACCTTTGACTTGTAGGGTGAACCGGGTTTTGCAGGACGGAAAGGACCACCAGGAATACCGGTACGTGTTGATATTTGTGAAATATTCGTACCGTATACATCAATGCGCGCCACGCTGACAACATTTAGACGTCAAATGTTTCTTTAGATTTATTTTTCGGCTAATTGCGATATCTGCGAATCGTTATTTTACAAGTAGTACAAAACACTAATGTCCGGCTGTTCCATGTCGGAAAAAAATTGTACTGCGAAGAAAATCTAAATGTAATTGTAAACGAATTGTCCTCGTAAAATTAGGTCATTAGAGTCTGACAAGTTACTGTAAATTGTCTACTTAGTGTTTTGTCACGTATTCATCGATGTAAAGTTATGCGCATGTTCAGTATGTCTCAGAACGTGATCGCGTTAAATGTAATTTATGTTTGTGTTCACACAAATCCAAGTTATTTAAAAATAGACGCGTATACTCTTTTAGGATATAAAAAATATAAACCGTAAAACATTTGACATTCGGTGTAAAATGACTAATTGGTTCTAAAGATTTGTTGAGGTACCGTGACCGAGACATGGTAATTTTAGTGCCATACGTATACTAAGATCAAATTCGGTAATACAAATCAAATAATGGTTGGAACACGGGCATAGGTGTAAATCTCAGCCTTGCCAGCATTTAAAATGACATTCGTCTACATTATTTTTAGCTCCGCTGTTGATGACGTCAGCAAAGCTATTCACGTGTCATTGCCATGAAATGAACATTTTAGATATCTTCTTTAAAAAATCGTTAGGCTCATGGCTTTGAAATTTTCCAGAATGGTATTTAGTGTGACAATTACCCAGATTTGTTCATTTCGTGAGAATAATTCTCACATCTAGTGAACATTTAGGTCATTGTTGGTGAAAAATGTTTTTTGAGATTCTGATTGGAACTGTAGCCGGCTAATTTCTCTGATGTCATTCACGTGTATGCCTTCGAGTGACCATTTCGTAACATATCTTCAAATTCTATGTTGTTGATCAGAATATTTCAGACCTCTGGAAAATTATTTCTTTCTATAATTCATAATAATACAGAATAAATAACGTGTTATTGTATGAAATTATAAATTTATACGTTGTCATGATTCCCAATTGCAATACTTCGTTTCGACTTTTGCGACATTATTTCAACACTGTAGGTAAAAAATACGTGCGTCGCTATTCTAGTTGTGTTTTTGTATTTTTATTAGTCCGGCTTTCATAAATAATTAATCACTTTACGTATTGCTTCGTGATGACATCGTTCGTGAATTTGACAAGTTGTGCGGAAACGACAAATTCGTAAAGGGTGCACATCACGCAGCACTCACCAGATGGCGCATTTATCCGCTCTTTAACTACCTTGGTCTTTGCACATTGACTCCCACCTCGCGTGGGTCGGCAATCCTGACGCGCCCGTCTTTTAACACGCACTGCGGCACCTCGTAATAGGCAGGCAGTCTCGAAAATGCCTGCTATCTAATATTCTTGTTCAACTGTGATCAGCGGTTGGTAAGTATGTTAGCAATTCACCTAATGATTTTTGATGTTACGTTGCGTCAAAATTCGGCAATCAAATTGCGTGAGACATGGACGGGCGCTGGGAAGAGAATGCGTTATTACTCATGTGTGTTGCATCGGCATGCATTTAATTTCAAAACTACTTATGCATGATGTGGCAATTTACTTGATGTAGCACGTACACAGACAATGTCAACACACTCAGGCGCAGAGACCATGCACATATGGCCGTAGAAATAGAAGAAAGTAGGTCTGAAGTAGGCCTAAAGTAGGTCAGCTAGAAACAAATTCATAACCATTCGATATCTAACGTTATATTAACGGTAATGTATAAGGCCTAGAACACAAAAAACAGACTACAAAAAAATGGTCAAACCAGAGTGGTCAATATTCTATTGAATATGGATACATGGATGGAAGAGTTAAGGACGAGTTAACTTGCGAATTTATCTGCCTAGTATTAAGGCAACGTATCTATTTCTTATGAGGGTCGAGGGCTGTCTAATTATTTTGACGTCATGTTCCTCGTTTGTAGGGTAACGAGGGTCCACCTGGCGAACGAGGCTATCCAGGGTCACGTGGTAGAAAGGTAACTGAAGATTCGTTTATTTTTAAGTTTATTTCTGATATAAGTATGTATATTGGTGTATATTGGGATGGAATGCGTCAAAGGGCCGCAATGAGCGAGTGTGCTTACTAGTTCGAGGAGGTACATTTCCACGTGGGCCATATTGATAAAAAAAAAATCGCCCACCTCCTTTCCCCGATATTGGAAGGTCAGACTGTAGTGTCTAATTGTTGCTGTGTATTTGATTCATAGTTGACTTGACAATTATGGCTGTTGTTTGGTTTACAGGGATTGGATGGTGATATCGGTTTACCAGGTGAACTGGGCGAAAAGGTAAGAACCAAACCGATCCATAGCTTTAAGTCATTCTTGTGCATATTGGGGTATTATCATTATTTTTAACAAGTATATAGTATGTTTTTGCGATGATCCCGATATTTACGGCATAATTCATGCTTAAATAAGACGATGTTCTAGATGTCTGCAATATTTACTGACGTAGAACTTGCTTAAAGTATTGGTCCTATTGATAAGCATAACAGATCAACGGCAGTTCTTTGTGGAGCTTTCGTGTTAGTTACTTCATTGTTCCAACACATCTCAGGACATCTCTCCGGCCTGAATACCACTATGGAATATGTTACCATACGTTGTACGTGGTGAGATTACACATATGGGTTAATCGATCTTTAAAATGACCGAACTGCAATTAATTAATAACTTTTTTGTTTCATTGGTTAGACTATTAAATATAGCCTTGTTGTTGTCATTTTGTCAGGGTAGCCGTGGCAGTAAAGGACCTGGTGGGGAAACCGGGGATCCTGGCGAAACGGTAAGTACCGGCTGAAATATACACTACTGGATTTGTGTTAGCTTTATTCTAGTGTAGTCAGTGAAAATAAAACTGGCTTGCAGTTACATTGCCCAACATCTTTCCCTAAGTTTGCATCTGTTGTCGTGGAAGATGAGACGAATTTGTATCTACTTATTGTGTTGTAACTATGATAACAAGTATCCATTAAAATGAAATAAACGTGTTTATTAACATGTTCAAGTTCGAAAACAAATGACATACATGTAGGTATGGGAGACTTCAGAGCCTTAAAGTAAAAAAAAAAATAATTGTTTTCGCTTTTGTTTCGAATTTAGATAATGTCAGCTAAACACTGCTAAAATCTTCTGTCGCGAGTGGAACACATTAAAGAGGGCGATTTAAAAATATCAAAACACCAAGGTGCGCACGAGTAAATGACATTCCGACATCCGACATTTTAAAACTATTGTACTTTGAATTATTTATGCACATTTCAGCAAAAATTCTGCATAGCGTGTGAGAGACAAAAAAACCGATGCTATTTTTCTGGTAATTTGATTTTTTTTTATATCCCAATTTTGATATGTTTACAATTTGGAGCTAATTCTGTCTAAATACTATGTATAAACAAATCGCAAAACATTTTTTAAAGCTGCAATGGCCCACAAATTTGTATCTATACCTTAAAGTGAATATTGTATCAATGTTTATTTATTTCGAGCGATGATAGTATAAGAATTGTGAAAGGTAATTTACATGTATTATCAATTTAGTTATTTGCATATGAGGAATGTACGTCGTCTGCGCATGAGAGCGAACTCTCCGCCATTGTCAGTAATGATAATGAAGCTCGTTGTTTTCTGGCTACAATGGCTGTGATGTCAACAGTCTCTAATCCATGCCGTGTTCCACTCATTTTACCCAGAAAACCCTAATCGATGTAATCGTCTTCGAACGAATATATAATTTTATGCAAATTACGATCGCCGCAACGTCGGCAGTATGCTAATTCCCTTTGTCTTAAATGTTTACCGAGACACGCATCCTGGCGAAAGAACCGAGCGAGTTTCCTAACCGTTCTTCTAGTAACCGTGTTATACCTAACTGCATCAATGCCTAGTTACGACGTCTGTAATTGTCGTTACGGTCAGCTACTAGCCGTGATCGTTGACATTAATATTGAACTGTCATTCGTATAGGGTGACATTGGTCTGCAGGGATCCATGGGTGAGCAGGGCGAGTCAGGAAAGAATGTAAGTCAAAACGCTGAGCACAATGTATCGTTGCACAAATCTGTGAATCGGTGTAGTAACAATTTAAGCCATGAGTCATAAGTGGTCATATTCTCGCGTGATTGTTCACGTGATGTATATGTTTGACGAGATCAATATGCATTGTGGGTTACCGAAAAACATCTGGTACGTGAGCGTAGCTTATGCATGGTGATAGCTCTTGTGCCGTGCTTTAGTCTTTGTGATGGTATTTTAGTCATTTCTGAAACATTTGGTGTCATTAAATATGTTATTTTCACACAGAAGAGCTATGGTTTCTCCCATAGACTTGCGTAAACACAAACGTGCTACGCATGGCAAATAAAAGTCGACAAAAGCAGAATATTTTCTCGCATCAGACCATCCAATATTATTATTCTTTATAAAACTCTCACGCCGACAAATGACATTGCAAATAGGAGTTGATAAAAGTACACCATTTACTTATAGCACGCAACAAAAACTACCATCAATAGATGTTATGTTTATTAAACACTCACCAGCACGAAAACCGTTTGTCTCGGGATTTGCCTCGCTAAACCGTACGTAACTCTATTGACAGCTATTTTCTTGAGGTCAAACGAGGTCAAAATTACTTTGCTAGATGAAGTCACTATACAAATGTATTAGAAATTCATACGGAAAGTGGAACAGCTAAAACGCCATATTTTGATATGGACTTTTTGGTATTTACTGTGGGTAGTATACGTATGCATCTAAGGTAGACGATGACAACTTCTATTTACGTGAGTATACTGCAAGTTATCGGGAATACCTTCTCCAGTGACGCCATATTGTCCTCGTTCGGCCTGAAAAAAAGAATGCCATCGGAGTTGGCCCGGAGCATTAATCCCGGGAAAAACTTGACGAACATCATACCATGGAGGTAAAAGACAGGTCTGGTGTTTAATACACATATTATCCATTGGCGATAGATTCGATGGTCTGATGCGAGAAAATATTCTGCTTTTGTCGACTTTCATTTGTGATGCCATTTTGCGTTACACGTTTGTATTACGAAAATCTATGGGAGGAACCATAGCCTGAGATCGTCAGTGTCGATAACAATTCTAATATCTGAAAATGACAAATTTATTGACACAAAATACATCAGAAATTACTAAAATATCATCACAAAGACTAAAGACCGACAAAAGAAGAGCTATGAACCCACATCTAGCATGATGGACGCTTTTACATTAAAACTCTTAAAAATGATCGGGCATCAGTAATGTTCTTCATATACTAATCTTATGTTTGATCACTGAATAATTTAGGCGATTCTTTACCCGACCGTTAATAGTTAACCTGAAATTAAATTCTATTTTAATCAAAATGTTCATCATTTCTATCAATGTTGTATAAACAAACATTTGACCGTTATCGCTGAAATCGATATAATAATGTTCGCCATTTGAGAGAAAAATAAATCAGCTGGCACTAAATGACACGTTTGTTTTGGCGATACACGAACGGACGCTATAGTGTTTATGTTGTTGTCGCGCATCGAAACTGAGACCATCTGCGGTGAGCTACAGTCGTAGCATCGTAATTGAATTGTCTGTTTGTTCATTTGTCCAGGGACGAAAGGGAAATAAGGGGATAAAGGGAAGACCAGGACCAATTGGACCATCGGTAATGCGATATTGCGATACATGACAGAGAAGTTTTTTTTTTTTTTATATTTTTTTTTTGATTTCATAATCAAAGCGGCATTATTGCAATTGATATTAATATTATAATAACTTTTTAATAATCAATTTAGGGACCTCAAGGTGAAATGGGTGCAATGGGCAAGACGGGAGATCCAGGAAAACAGGTAAAACTAGCACCAGTAAGACACACTATGCTTACATTAAATACAAACTATTTCATTTTATTTTCCCAACTTGACAAGGTCGTATATCTTACTTGAACAATGCCTAATTGTTTAGACAACTTGCTGTAACACTTGAATGAACCGTTTATTTATTTATCTTGGATGCGAACAAAAAAATTGATCATACAACATTGTTGCATGCAAGTTTATAATTCAATTTATTTACATATGTGTATTATGCAGGGGGACGACGGTGGCCGAGGCGAAGCCGGACTGCAAGGAGAACAAGGTGAACAGGTGAGTGGAATGTTTATATGTCATGATGATCCAGTCGACAGTATAAACAATATTGACACTTCATTCACTCTGAGATTTTACTCAAACAGGGGGATCAGGGAATTAAAGGAAAACCAGGAAAAACGGGGAAAGTTGTAAGTATACTTCACAAATAAGCATGTGTTTAAATGGCGGTAGTCGTCGCGCTGCGAATGTTCGACATTTGTGTTGATAAACATTGATTTTCCCACAATCCAATGCGCTCTTCAAATGAAAATCACAAGTATGAGGTTTGACCTGGGCGCGACTTGCACTGATTACCGCCAGTGTCTACTTCGATACCTTCCAATCACATGAAAATTACCCAATTAAAGCTTGGTAACGTCTCAGTTCGTACTCGTTCATCTACGCAACAGTCAAAGTCGCCATCTTTGTTTATATGAGACCCATATATCTCGCACATGCGCAGCGCGACGACTACCGCCCTTTAATAACGTACCAAGTAAATTAAAACGTGTTCCGTGGTTTATAGTGACCAACGTCCGCCAGACAGCCATTTTATTCACTCCGGTGGTGGAACTTGTTGTATTACAGCCACTAAAATATACATCCAAAAAAAATACAACTCGTTATATTTATATCATTGCGCATGTCAAGTAAAGCGTCTTCGAGCGAACTTGTGTGACGTAATTGAACAGTAAAAACAATCGCGCACACAAGAAACGCGCTTATGCATATTGAATAATCAATGTAGTATTATTGCTTACCCATTCTTACCGGTACAGGGAAAACGTGGATCGACGGGAAGACCGGGAAAAATTGGAAAACTAGGTGAAAAGGTAAACTCGATTAGAACTCCTCTTCATTTTGTTTTAATTTTAATGTAAAAAAAAAATGATTTTTTAGTTTATTTGTATCTTTATTTTTTAAGGGAGAAAAAGGTGTGCTTGGAAGACCAGGTCAACCAGGAGAAATGGTAAATACTGTTATTCATACCACCTATTATATCCTTGTTGTCCTGTTGGTATCTACCTAACATGCGCTGTGAATTCAGGCACTGTGATTGGTTGGTGGACTCACGTTGATCCCTGCTTGGTCATCACACAATTCGTATGTTGGAAATAGTTCCACTATCAATTCCTGTCGAGTTTCAATTAGTGAATCTCCATGATGTCATTCATCTGAATGACAACGGTTTCGCGTTTGACACCCATTTTTCATAATCGTTTCTACAAGACTTGTGTTTTCTAATTCTCACTACGTCCCTATATGCAAATAAGCACGCGTTAGAATTCAGTGATGCGCGAACCTTTCATGATATAGTGCACTTTAACGAGTGGATAAATGAGATCTCAAATCCATACTATATAAAGTACATCGACCTCGTGATATAATTGTTATTTGGAAATGTTACACTCGTTGAAGCCCGATATGATATTTTAAGATCCCTCAAGAGATAGGTCTGCTATGTGTTAGGGAGTTGTGCAATTATAAATATTACGATTTAAATAATTCCGACTTTACTCACATTTCTCGTACTTAGAATTGTAGTCGTAACATATGTCTTGGCTTATTTACTTAGTCAAAGATCACACAGTTGAATACTGTTCAGTAGTAAAACGTTGAAGACAAAACAATATACCCGTGTACTCCTGTGATGAAACTGACGACTACTATCCCTGAGTCACTTAACTCCCCTTACAAGATTAATTACTAACAGGCATGCAATACACGGCTAGTCTTGTTTCTCGCAGCAGTACATCTATACTGTGCGATCAACCCATCCAAATCTGTATCGACCACCTGTCTGCCTATCTTTGTTTTCAAATAGTAAAAACAATTACTGTATCCAACAGACATATCTGCACCCGAACACGCCTTCTTTGTTTTCTAAAAACAACTTAATTCAGCCGTGCACAATATGTCGCATGTAGTTTTAGTTTAATCGTATAATTAATCTGTGTTTATCCATTGTGGTTTCAGGGATCTGTTGGTCCTCCTGGCTCACTTGGGCGGCGTGGAATGCCAGGTCCTAAGGTAAAAAAGTCATTTCACAATATTCTTATGCATTTGTCATTAACAGTTGGGATGGGGAGTAATTTTAATATTTGCGGCTAGTTGGAAAGGGAGTGCCTTAAAGTGATCTACCTACACTGAATCTATGTAGCATTATTGGATAGGGGGATTATTGAGCTACGAACTTATGAGGCTGCACTGACAAACAAATTGACTGTATATTTAAACACAAATAAATAAATTTAAAAATGAATAAATACATTTTTAAATAAATAAATAAATATTTTTTAAATAAATAAATACATTTTTAAATAAATAGATAAATAAATAAATAATTTTTTAAATATTTTTTTAATAATGTTTTAAATAAATTTTTAAATAAATAAATAAAAATATTTGTATTTATTTATTTAACCATAGACCTCAGAAAGGTTTTCTAAGGTCTATGATTTAACACATAATTATGTGTTCCCTTCCAAGTTCATGAAAAAAAAGTTAAATTAAATATCAGTAAAATAAGTTTTACAGTAAAAGTTTATTGACTCTACTCACTTGGCCGAAACTTAACCTCTTCGAAGCTGATACATATTTACGACGAATTACAAGGAATTAACACTCTGAGAAATAAACATACCCAATATCGTATGAATAGAAATGGTGGTCTATATTCCACGTGTGTGTGCTTCAGATGAAAGAAACACAACCCGGCCCTTTCGACCCTTGTCATTGTTCGTTATATAGCAGTCCTAATTGGGTTGATTCTGCAGGAAAGTTGGCGCCAAAGTAATCAAGATAATATGTTCGGTATATATATAATGATTGCCGTACGATAAGTATGTAATACCCATACGGGTTAATTTGATACATGGTTGTGTTTATGTAACGGTTCAGTAATACCCTGGGTACTCTGCACATGATAAGTAGCCTTCAGCAGAACGGCAGTTGCATTTATACGCGGCGTTATTTAACGATTTTAACTCGACGCTTGAACAACGTCCATACAATTTCAATATTCTAACTTTTAAAGCGGGGGAGTCGTCACCTGCGCATGCGTCAGATGGCCATAGCGTGACATTGTTTACAAACAAGCGTCTATCCATGAGCCTTTTCGTTTTAGCGTGTGTTGTTATCGTCGCTTGGGACTCAATTCCCGTGCGGGCGCAGGTGACGACCCTTCCGCTCCAAATGGATATTGTGTTGGCCTTTTTGTATCTATCGTTGCTGTTTACCAGAAGTGTCAATCTCGTGTTTCAGCGAACACCGGCTAAAGGAAAAGTCAACCAAACAACATAATGACTCCTCAAGAAAAAGCTCCACAAATATAGGAGAATGTAATTTACAGTTTTTTTATATCACTTTTCATTCTCTAGATATTCAACTTTTCATCAGTATTATGTAGTCAGTCATCTTGATATACATGAGATTCTATGATGTCATACTTTGCCCACAATCCTTTGCTGCAGAATCAAGATGGCGGACTACATAAATTGATGAAAAAGTATCTAATATCTAAAGAATGAAAAGTGATATAAACAAAACTGTAAATTACATGTTCTTACATTTGCCGAGCTTTTTTTATCTGGAAGTATTATGTTGTTAGCCTTGACTTCTCCTTTAACTTATACACCTGTCGTATAATTTGCGCCCTCTAGTGACAAAACGATTTTATGACGTCACAATTGTGTACATTTATGTAAGCTATTTCGTTCAAAAGGGACAAGTCTGTTTTGAATATAGCAAATCTCCGAGTGAGGACCAAAACATTATGAACTCTGTGAACGAGGTTACTTACATCCATTTAAGTCACAGAAGATTTTCGTCGCTAGAGAGCGGTACTTATTAGATGGCTGTCATTGTTGTATTACACACTAACCAATAGAAAAAAAGGATATATAAACATGTAGGCGATAATTGAAGATATATAAATTATTTGAGATTTGATGCATGAATAATTTTATTTCTAGGGTTCACCGGGAAAACCAGGAGTGATCGGAACACCTGGATCAAAGGGATATCAGGTAATTTGTGAATTCTGTAATCCTGCAATGGGTGCCCATCCCGTTGTCTGCATGTCACGTTGCATTGCCCACTCTGTGCCACATCGCATTAACCACAGTCTCTGGGACTGTGCATTAACCAACCCGTTGCCTGCTATATTGCACTACCCACCTGTTGACTGTCGCATTACACTACCGACCATGTTTCCCGCCGCATTGAACTACCCATCCCATGCCTGGCGCAATTGAACTACCTATCTGTGACCTGCCGCATTGTACTGCCAACCCTGTTGCCTGCCGCATTGAACTACCCATCCCATTCCTGGCGCAATTGAACTACCTATCCGTGACCTGCCGCATTGTACTACCAACCCTGTTACCTGCCGCTTTGTACTACCAACCCTGTTGCCTGCTACATTGAACTACCCATCCCATTCCTGGCGCAATTGAACTACCCATCCCATGCCTGGCGCAATTGAACTACCTATCTGTGACCTGCCGCATTGTACTACCAACCTTGTTGCCTGCTGCATTGAACTACCCATCCCATTCCTGGCGCAGTTGAACTACCTATCCGTGACCTGCCGCATTACACTACCAACCCTGTTCCTGCC